CTTCAGCTCCGGCAGCAGCCGAGGTGTCAGCTCCAGCACAGGCGGCGGCAGCGTGAGGATCGTTTCCAAGACCACCACTAGCAAAAAGACCATCAGATAAGGATGGGGGGAGCACGGGGCCCCCAGGTGGATGACGACGCGTTTCCTGCCTCCGAATGCAAGTGCTGCCCTGCGAAACCAACGGTGTAAATAGCTGCGCTAGACCCTCTCTTTCCTCCACCCTTCAGCCTCCACCTTTGGGGCAGCGGGGGGAGGGGAGACCAGGTCCCCACCACAAGAATTTGGAGCATCTTTGGCTAAGGCACAGGTTGTAACAGGTCACCAGCAGGGCTTTGCAGAGCCGTGCGGACCCCGGTGGTGCCACAGTCCTTGTTCCTCCTTTGCTCCTCCCCGGAGCGACACATTTAAAGCCGCTTTGCTGGACGGGACGCCGGGCACGTTCACTTCACTCGGCCCAAAACAGGGGGGACGATCTTGTGAAACCACACTCCTGGGTCCTCAGGGATGAAAACAGCTCCAAGATGCTCTAACAAAGCCTCTGCCATGTGTTACAACCTCCAAATGTTTTGTCTGCAAATAAAAATTTTTCCAGCCCCCTCTTTTTTTTCTCAGGCACCTGTGGGAAAGGTTATTGCTTTCTGTGTACATGAATTGCCACACTGATTTCTAACCCTTGTCCTCATGGCTACAGCCTCTTCACTTCCAGGCCTATCATACGTATGGTCCAATAAAGAGCATGTGTCATTTTTAAAATCTGCTGCTTTTTGGCTTTTCTTCTCTGCTGATCTGGGCAGGGACATGTGCTGTGCTCCAGCTCAGAGGGGACTCTGTGGTCAGTTCATGAGAAAGGACTTTGTCTTGAGGAAAAAATCATCAGTTTTAGGACTAGGGACTCGTGCTGTTCAGGACTCAGGGGAGTGTGGAAATAAGGGTGGGATGTATGTGCAGCCAGTGCAGACAGGAGATCTTACGGCAGAGGAGCACAGCACTGGCACCAGCAGCACGGCAAGAAGGTACTGAGGTTGGCATCAGACTGGGGGGGAACAGAACAGCCAAACAACTCCTGAGCCAGAGAGAGCAGCTGGAGGGAGGGTGGCACCTGCAGAGAGGGTGGATGCAGGCAAAGCACCCAGTACCTGCACGGGCAGCGTTGGCATGTCGAGATGTCCCCAGCACACACAAGCACCACCTCACTAACCATCTTGGCTGCTCCTCTGGAAGTTCCCATCCAGTCCCTGGGGAAGTTTCACAGACCTGTCTGGACAGATGTTTTGGGCCAGGCTCCTGCCCTGTTCCTGGGCTCCCTCCAATGGCTCCACCAGCAGCCCCAGATCTTGCTCCTCACCAGGCTGCAGGGCCAGACACAAATCCTGGCAGCAGCAACTGGAAAGCACCGTGTGAGGTGGGAACCCAGCCCTGAAGGCTGGAGCTGGAGCATGAACCAAGGGTGAGGAAAAGGGACAGAGCAGGACGGGAGCAGATCATAGAACCTCAGACTGCTTTGGGTTTTAGGGCCCTTAATAATCACCTAGTCCCACCCCCCCTGCATGTGCAGGGACACCTCCCACCAGACCAAGCTGATCCAAGCCCCGTCCAACCTGCCCTTCAACACTTGTAGGGATGGGGCAGCCTCAGCTTCTCTAGGCAGCCTGGGACAGGGTCTCACCACCCTCACAGGGAAGAAGTTTTTCCCAATGTCCAACCTAAATCCCCCCTCTTTCAGTTTAAAGCCATCTTCCCCTTGTCCCCTCAATAAATGCCCTTGTAAGAAGTTCCTTTCTAGCTTTTTTGTTCTCCCCCTTCAGGTACTGAAGGGAAACTATAAAATCTTCCCCAAAGCCTTCTCTGGGAAGCCCTTTGGGGATGCTGGTCCCAAAAGAAGTCCAGTTCATGTCCACAAACCCACCCCTCATCTCCTGCAGACTCCAGCTGGAGGTTCATCCAGGCAGGACCCCAGAGACAGAGAGGAGAGGGGGACATCAGCCATGTATGCAAAGTAAAGGCGCTTTGCCCAGGGATGCTGGAGCACTCACTGCGGGGAAACACCCCCGAGTCAAAGGGACCCCGAGCACTCGCTGTGCTGCGTAGAGCTGGGCCAGCACCAGAGAACCCAGCGTGGTGTCTCCAGCAGGTGGGGACCCAGAGCAAGAGAAAGGCTCGATGCTGCTCTGCAAGCCCTGGCGGTGGGGCCAGGGGGGCTGGGCTCACACCCACGAGTCCCCCCAGTCCGAGGGAACCATCGCTTCGGGAAAGCAGGGCAGCCCGTTTGCACCACAGGAGGTTTTGTGAAGGGTGAATGGGTTGGTCTTCAGCCAATGAACAGGTTTGCATCAGTCTTCAAGCTTCTGACCATATTTCTTAGACTGTTTTAAGGAAACAGAGTGAAATTGGCAAAGCAGATGTGTTGGTAACAGGCAGGGCATCTGAGCGGGGTCTTGTTGCTGGACTGTATTTTGTTGCTTGGTGTTTGTCTTTTTTTTTAAATTACATAAATTATAAAAATTAAAAGGGCTTGGTTTAGGTTCTTACAGAGGCAAACACAACATGTGGCTGTGCCACCAGCTGCAAACACATGGGCCACCAGCATCACTGAACCCTCTGTGGAATGTGGTGAGAGCCAGGCTGCCGAGCCTGTGCCCATCCCCAGGGTACCTGGGCATCTCTGCAGCTGGTGCCACGGGTCAATGGCAGGTCCTTCTGTGGTCTGAGGATGCTGCAAGACAGAAAAAGCACAGAGCAGCTACTGGTAGCATTGCTGTTTCCATGGGAAGTGTTCTGAGAAACCCCCTCCGGCACCTCTTCTCTAAGAAGCAGACAGCAGATGCAAAAAGTTACCTTCTGATTTGCAGAGACCTGCAAAACTCACATATTCAGGTCAAACTTGCCAAGTAATTTTAGCTGTCAACTTAAACATTACATGAAATATTTTTTTAAACCAACATTTAATTTCAACATTTCCTATGGCAATGATGCTGTCTCAAATGGAAACACCTCCCCTCCACCAGTCCCAAACAAAACTTTGCAGCTTTTTCACTCAAAAGCAGAATTTTCATAAAAGAAAATTATTTTGTTTTCATTTGCAAATGGTTTACCCAGCCTGCAAATGAAATAAGACACGAAATGGCTGCAGGGAAGGCAACACAGGGCACAGCAAAACCAGCATCAGAGCAATATTTCCAGCTCCCACCTGCAAGGCAGGCTGGGTCCCAGCATTGCTCTTTAAATGAGGCAGCAAGATCCCTCTGTCCAGAGCAGATGGAGTCCAGCTGCACAAGATACTGAGCCATGTGGGACCTCTGGGCTCACCTGGAGTACACTAGAGCACTTCCTGGTAAATAAACATGAGACTCCATGAAATTGGTGCACTGTGACTGGATACACTTGCCAGGATACATGAATAATCCTTGTTTATCTTGCAGGCTCAGAGAACAGCACAGTGTGGATCTGGTTGGTTTTAGTGGGGAGAAATTAAACTTCACAGAAGTTCTACAGCTCTTTGCAAGGAAACTCAAACCAGGAGCAGTGCTTGGTGCAGGATGGGGCTGGAGAACACATCATGTACAGGCACAGAGCTGACCCAAAATAATGGGACCTTCCAGGAACATCATTGTTGTTGTTTTTTATCAGGAAAAGAGATGTACCCTGGGGCCATGAAAAAGGATGAGAAGATGATCAGAGGGTTGAAGCACCTCTCCTATGAAGACAGGCTGAGAGAGTTGGAGATGTTCAGCCTGGAGAAGAGAAGGGTCCAGAGAGACTTTGGAGCACCTTCCAGTGCCTGAATGAGGCCTACAAGAAAGCTGAGAAGGGATTTTTTTAAAAGAGCATGTAGCAAGAGGACAAGAGGGAATGGCTTAAAATTGGAAGAGGGGAGATTTAGGTTTGACATTAGAAGGAAATTCTTCACTATGAGGGTGGGGAGGCACTGGTCCAGGTTGCCCAGGGAAGCTGTGGCTGCTCCATCCCTGGAAGTGTTGAAGGGCAGGTTGGATGGGGCTTGGAGCAGCCTGGGCTGGTGGGAGGTGTCCCTGCCCATGCAGGGGGGTTGGGACTGGATTATCTTTAAGGTCCCTTCCAAGCCAAACCAGTCTGTGATTCTATGACTCTGTGATACCGCTGCAGTGTTGAAAGATCCTGCTTTCCATGTGGAGCTCAGTGGTGGTCACAGCCCCAGCAGCCCCACTCAGGGATTAAAGTTAGGCTCAGAAAGCTTTACAGTGCAATTTGGGGTATTCGGGTTTCTTCAGGTAGCATCATCCAAGCTGCAGTGTTGCATGCACAATAGGATAGAGGAGGTATCAGCTAGTACCCACCTAAGGTCAGGGCTCTTTCAAGATGCAACAAGCCATGGGGGGAACAAGACCTCTCCCTCTGTGTAAAGCATCTGGCAACAACAGGAATAATGAAGGTGAATTTATTCCAAACCCTGAGCTGCATCAGTGTCTCTATGCTAGCCCAGAAAACAATTATCTGGAGAAAGCAGGTCACACCTACACTTCAAAGCCATCCAGTAGTTATAGCTGACTGGCCTCCAGATACTGCTGGGAACAGGCTCAAAGGAGCAACACCCATCACAGGGCAACTCCTATGGGAAAACTTCTGAGGAGTTCATCCTAATTCATCCCTTCGGGAAATGAGATTCAGGGACACTCAGCGCCCGCTCAGGAGGTCTCAGGGGTCCCTGTTCCTGCAGCACAGGGATGATGTGGGTTGCATCCCTGTGGAAAAAGCTCAGGGTGAGCAGCAGGACTTCATTAACTTGGGATGAAATAGTAAATTACAGTCAAAATGAGTAGGGTTTGAATTTAGGTTAGTAGCCCAAGTTTAACCCAAAGGCTTTAATTTAAGCAATTAAGCTAAATTACAGCCTTGACTTTACTGATAATTAAACTGAGATTAGGTAGCACAGGTGAATCAACTCAAGTTACTAAGACATGCACTTATTTTACAAATATACATATTTTTGCAAACAAAACACACAGGGACACTTAAAAAAATATCATCCTTGTCTGAGGAAGAGCATCCAAATCAAGACAAAGGCTTATAGAGTGGATGCTGGAGGGAAGCAATGGTGCAGAGATGCAGAGGAAGTGATGGAAAACTGTTGGAGGTTTTTCCTGCTTGCTGCCTGGCTTCACTAAAGCTTCTGGAGTTGCTTTTATTGCCCTGACACAGCCAGAATGCACTTTGCTTATCTCAAAGCAGAGTTATTACCTGGATATCAGCATGATGCCAGAAGCAAACTCAGTTGAGACTTTATGCCCAGGTTTCCAGCATGGTGTACAGGGATCTCCTGCCTCTTGGTCTGGTGCTCACACACGCTGCTGCCTGTCCCCTCTGCTCAGCCTGGAAGGAGAAAACAAGGATGGGAAGGGAAGAAAAAGGCTTTGGAGCCTGCTCACCCTCACACAGGGCTTCTGCTATGGCAGAGGAGCTCTCACCAGGTGGGACCTGCACAAACACAGCTCCCTTTGTCTGATTAGGAGGGAAAACTACAGAGCAGCTTGAGTGAGCACAAGCATTATCCTCTGGTGGAGGAGGAAATGTCTGTATCAGAGCAAACTGTTGGCATCAGAGCACCAACTTCATTGCATGCCTGGAACTGCAGGGTGCATGGGAGACACTCCCCCAGGAGCTACCTGGAAACCCTGTGTTTCATCAACAGAGCAGGGTGGGGGCCCCCTTGCCATCACCCCATACCCCAAACCTGTAGCTACAGCTCCTTGTGCTCGCAGTTCTGCCTTTTGTAATTACCTCTGAAATTCCTTCCAGATGAGTGACAACCTCATCACCTCCACCCTAGTGCAAATGTGAAATGGAAAGAAATTAATTTCTTTTTACTTGGTTGGAGGAGCTGTATTATTACTATTATTAACAATGGACTCCAACGCAGTTGGTGCATTCTTTAGCCAAAAAAGACAAGTTTCATATGTAAAAGGAGCCTGAGGGGTAAAAGGAAAGTACTGACACATCACGCTGTTAGTAACCAAGGGTGGGTTTCAGCCTGGCCAGCTCTGCACACCTGACTCAGCCATCTGGTCTACCCATGTGGTGTTGGTGAAAGTGGAAAGCCATCTTCAGGTGCCTGTGTGTCCATCTACCTTAGGATGGGGGGATCTGCCATTTGGTGGCCTCCACTGACTGCACAAGAACACAGAAGAGCTTTCAAATTGTCACAGTTATGTGAGCTGGAGCATCTAGACAGCGATTCCGTCGGAGTCATCAGCATTTCAGAAGGTGGGCAACTCACGCCTGCCTTTGAGTATCTTGCTGTCTTGCACCTCAAATGAATCAAGCACACTATGGTGGGGAAGTCCATCTCCTGCATGCAAGTAATGACATCAGTCAATTGGTGGGCACAGCCCTAAGGCTGATCAGTAACCCACGGCCTTTCAGACACTGACCTGCTCCTTGCAATCCAGTTACTTACAGTTCCCCTGGGTGTAAGTGTGAGGATATCCAGACCCAGTGAGACAGCCCTGCCGGGCAAAAATTGCAGGATTAAGCCTCTCTTTACAATGAAAGCTCAGTCTTGTAAAAGACACCAAAATAAACCAGTAATTGCTCTTTATTCCTCCCCTTCATTTAAAAAAACTCAATTGCAAATCCAATTCATTGAAAAAAAGCAGCTGGGGAAAGAAGGGGGACACAAAGCGCTTTTGGGAGTTTCCTTTACCTGGCTCCCTTGCAAGGCAGGGGCAGATGAAGCACAAACCCTCCACTGTGGTGATTCCTCAGGATGACGTTATTCCTGAACTGCAGCCAGGAGCTGCTCACACTCGCAGACAACAGGAGAGGAGGCTCTTTGGGGGGTATGTGTTTGCCAGTCCGCTCAATTTTATAAATAAATTATGTATGAATCATCTTTTCCTGAATAACCTGAAGCACAATGAAGGCCAGAAACTCTTACCATCCCTCAAAATGATTTTTTTTCCCCACATTTTTCTATTTGACTTGTTACTCAAACTGCAACGCGACATGCAAAGCAAAGGGTAGGTTTGTAGGTTGTAGGTTTGTAGGTTTTGTTTGTTGGTTTGTAGGTTGGTACCTGCAGCTGAGCCGGGAAAGATCCAGGATGCCTTAATGTGCCCAGATCTGGGCAGAGGGAACCCTGTAGGGCACTTTCCTGGTGGATTCAAGCAGGCAAGATCACACTTTCAGATGTGCAGTGCTGGAAGAGCTGATTAAATCGTTGGGAAACAATGTCGTGTTTATAAATGGTGAGTTGGGAACAGCCCTGGAGCACTACATTTCAACAAAGCCAGTGGACTCAAAGCAGTTCCCAGTTCCCATTCCCACAATCTTTCCTCCTTTTTTTTTTTTGGTTTTTTTTTGTTGTTTTGTTTTTGTTTGTTTGTTTTTTTGTTTGTTTGTCTGTTTCCAATCTTCAGTGATAACCAAAGTCCACATCTTCTGAGGTTGTGCCCAACTATTTGTGATAGAGCCCAATGGCAGTTGTCAAAACCCACACATTATCAAAAGACTTCATCACAACATTTCAACTTTATTCCTCTATTTTTTTCAGTGATAGAAGAATAAGCAGGATTTTCAGAAGAGATCATCTCAGGGTGCTGAGCTTATATGGGGATGGAAGCAAAAATGTTTCTGCAGATATGCTGTGGAGGTATAGAGGGGCCACGTAGTACCTCTCACAGAACCCGATACAACAACTTACTGCCCTGTTCTGCCCAGACCTAAAACTGTCTAAAACTGGCAGGCACTGTAACCTTCCGAAACCTGGCTTGTGAACAGAAAAGGGGCAAAGCAATCCTGAAGGATGAAGTTTTCAACTGAGACACCTGTTGAGTGACAGGCGTTCTGAACGGTGTTTTCCTCCCTGTGCCCGAAGTGACTCACTGCAACTTTCAAACGCTTTGATATGGCCAAGAGTCTGGCTGGCTACAAAGCCGGCAGAAGGCGACAGTTATTCCCAAACAATACCACTGTTGCTCAGAAGCTGGCTATATTATTTCAGAAGGGTGTGTGTGACGAGTGAGTTCACTCTCCAGAATGCTGTTGGACATGCCAAGCCTAATTAATCAGAAAGACGATCCACCTCATAAAACCCATCCCAGTCTCATAAATGCATAAAAGGGCTCTCCTGAGCCCATGAAGAGCAGAGGTTCATCTCTCTCTTTTTCCTCCTACTCCTTGCTCCAGGCCAGCACCTTTGCTCCTTTATTCTTGCTGTAATATCCATCCCAATCCAACAGCCAACGATGTCTCGCCAGTCCACTGTGAGGATCCAGAGGGGGAGAAGTGGCTTCAGTGCCGCTTCGGCCGTCGTCCCCAACACTTGCCGCACCAGCTTCAGCTCACGCTCCGTCACCCGGGTCGGGGGCTGCAATGCTGGCAGTGGGTTTGCCAGGGTTGGTGGTGGCTTTGGAAGCAAAAGCCTCTACAATGTTGGTGGATGCAAGAGGATCTCTGTGTCTGGAAGGGGTGGTGGCTTCTATGGATCTGCAGGTTTTGGTGGTGGCCCTGGTAGCGTGTATGGTGGTGGCTTTGGCATGCCAGCTAACCTTGGCTATGGATATGGTGTATTTGGTGGTGGCATGGGTGGCCCTGGATTCCCAGCTGGGGGCATCCACGAAGTCTCCGTCAATCAAAGCCTTCTGAAACCTCTCAACTTGGAGATAGATCCCAGCATCCAAAGGATCCGGAAGGAGGAGAAGGAACAAATCAAAACCCTCAACAACAAGTTTGCCTCTTTCATTGACAAGGTGAGACATGAGCTTCCCTAAATATCTTCTCCTGGATTTATTTTTTTTTTGTAGTGTTCTGTTTGTTTGTTTGTTTGTTTGTTTGTTTGTTTTATGGGGACTCTTTTCTTAGCTGCTTTATGAGAACTTATCAAGTTCAAGCTGATCGAGAATGAATAGAAGCACAGAACGAGACTGGAAGATACCCAGTCCCCAAAAACTCCAGAGAATGGCACCTGCTACATAGTGGTTGTATGAATTAATCATCAGTATTTGAGGTCCTCCTCATTTGCTTCTTGACATCTAAAAGGCAGAGGAGAAAGTAAGCTCTAAAAGGACAATCCTGTCCTTCTGGAGATGTTGGGCACTCTCCATTAAGCCTTGATAACAGTTTTTTAGGTGGTTAAAGTGAGATGCAAGTAACCCATCTAAAATGAACAAGAAAGGGATCACATGAATTGGTACTAGACAGAATTAAGTTTCTCATTCCTTGAATTTCCTCAAAGGCATTTGAAATTATCACTGCAACTGTACCAGCATGTCTGGACTGTTAGTTCAAAACAGCAAAATCCGATCTGACATTCTCTGTTCATTTCCTTGTTCACTGTCTTAGATGCACAAGAGCATTTTCTTTTCTGCTCTGCTTGAGCAGCTGCTCCTTGGTTTCAAGGAAAATGCTACAGTATTTTGGAGCTTTTGTGGGGTGGAGAGAAAGGAGAAATAGCACTTTAGTATTATTTTCTCAATAAAAGCGTAAGCCCTGTTGTGCTCCTTGCCTGGTTTTGCATGCACTCTTCACACAAAATGCATTCAGCCTGCCTTGTCTTAGCAAAGCAATGAAGGGGAAACATGGTGCAAAAAACCCAGATTAATTCCAGAGTTCGTCTGCAAGACTGAGCAGGGTCCCTGCAGTCAAATGGCAATTTTTTTCTTCTACCAGATGAGGATTTGGCTGTGAAAACCAGCTGGAAAGAGTACTTCATCAGGACTGAGTGCCCACATTTGCAAGGAAAGCTCTCTAGAATCTTTGCTCTTTCAAAACATCTTCAGGATATTTCTGCTTGCAGGTCCGATTCCTTGAGCAACAGAATAAAGTGCTGGAAACCAAGTGGAGCCTGCTGCAGGAGCAGGGGATGAAAACAGTGAAGAACAACGTGGAGCCGCTTTTTGAGACTTATATCAACAACCTCAGGATGCAGCTGAACAGTTTGCTGAGCGACAAAGGAAGGCTGGAGGGAGAGCTCGTCAACACACAGTATCTGGTGGAGGATTTCAAGAAGAAGTAAGTCTGCTGAGCTAGAGGTCTACTTACCTTGGTAGGTGCAGCCTCTCCATGCAACATTCTTAACCCAGCTGGGGGATCCAGGAGAATCCGGGATACGGGAAATCCTGACAGTGAAGGCTGTGCAATTTGCTCAAGACAAATGGTAACGGAGTAACAGGTCCAAGTACAAAACCATTTAGGGAATATTTTAGAATATGATCAAAGACTTATTAACTAAACTACCTACTGAGAAAAAAACCTACATGGTAGGTCTGAGAGTTTCAGGTCAGCATGTTTAATTTGCTTAAGTCAGGCAGGAGGAGTATGACTAATGGCCAGAAATAGGAAAATAAAACAATAGATTATTTTTTATGTACTTGTTTTAACTAGTTTAGCCTAGGAACATGCTCATGGTCTCTTATTCAGAGGCTCTGTAGGAAAAAAGAACGTTGTATGCAAAATTCTCTTCAGGAAGTTCATTCCAGCAAAAGAAAATCACCTCTGTCTGTTACTTGCCTAAACAAATGCTCCTTTTGCCTCCCTCCATTAGGTATGAAGATGAAATCAACAGGCGTACAATTGCAGAGAATGAATTTGTGACACTCAAGAAGGTGAGAGCAAATTACAGAATACAGAGCTCTTAACCCTGATTCATTCACAGATCTGTCCATTCATATCCCAAAAGCATTTCTAATGGTTTCTTCTCTGGACTGTTACTGCAGAGATGTGTGTTCCTGACTTGATAACAGGAGTTTAAAACACATTGCATAAATCTCTTGTCCTCCAGGATGTAGATGCTGCCTATATGAACAAGGTGGAACTACAAGCCAATGCAGATTCATTGATTGAAGAAATTAATTTCCTGAGAGCCCTCTACGAAGCAGTGAGTACAATCACATCCCAAGACATTGCAGCCCTCAGTTAGAGCTTCCCTCCCTCCTTTCTTCTGAAAGCCTTTAATTTCTTCCCCCAGGAGATGCTAAATCCTTTACCTCTTTACAGTTATACCAACCGTCTTAGCTGTTTAGATAACAATCTGCAGCCTCTCCCAGGTCTGCACACTCGTCTGAAAGGATGAAAAGGCATCTCTCGAGTGAATTACCTCACCTGGTCCCACGTGCACTTTGCAGGAGCTGTCTCAGATGCAGACACAGATCTCAGACACCTCTGTCGTCCTCACCATGGACAACAACAGGAACCTGGACCTGGACGGGATCATCGCGGAGGTGAAGGCGCAGTACGAGGACATCGCCAACCGGAGCCGGGCTGAGGCCGAGTCCTGGTACCAGACCAAGGTGAAGAAACCGGGGCTTTCCGCGCTCTTATCTCTGTGTCTTGTCTTCAACAGATAAAGACTGACGCTTCCAAGAAAATGTTCTCAAACTATTCTATAGCAGCACTCCAGCTGCTAGCCTGGGCTGGTGGAGGGCTCCATGGTTTCAGGGGTCTGGGTTACTTCAAACCCGATGGATTTTACTTTGGGTGATTGTTCCTCTCTCTGTGGCAGTATGAAGAGCTGCAGGCCACAGCAGGCAGGCACGGGGACGACCTCCGTCACACCAAGCAGGAGATCTCTGAGCTCAACCGGCACGTCCAGCGGCTGCGGTCTGAAATCGACAGCGTGAAGAAGCAGGTAAGCAGCAAAACTCACACTTTTCATCAGTTTACCCCCTGACTTGCAAGGGAGAGGAAGGAAAACCTCAGAGGCAACCTAGGCAATTTTGACCGTTTTAATCTCAAAACCAGAACTGTCACTACAACTGGTGAAGCTGATGGTGCTGGAACAAGACCTTGTGATCTCAGGCTAGGCAGACAACAAGTCTAAGTCTTGTACAGGGAATCTGACTGGGGGTTTCTCTTCCCAGTGTGCCAGTCTGAAAGCAGCCATCACGGATGCTGAGGAACGTGGGGAGCTGGCCCTCAAAGATGCCAAAGCCAAACTGGCAGAGCTGGAAGATGCTCTGCAACAGGCCAAGGCAGACCTGGCCCGGCAGCTCCGTGAGTACCAGGAGCTGATGAACGTCAAGCTGGCCCTGGACATCGAGATCGCGACCTACAGGAAGCTGCTGGAGGGAGAGGAGTGCAGGTGGGTGGGAAACAACCCTTGTAGTCCTGATGTTGGAGGAGCAAAGCAATGTGGGCACTGGAGATGCTCAGGATTTCAGAAATGCTCAACAGAGCATTGGGGATTTGGGGGGAAGACAGCCCTGGCTGATGGAAATAACATCACGGGAAGCATCCCCAAATTATGCCAAGTATTTATTTTTTTGCCCTAAAGGTCTCTAGGAAATGTACCCTATTTTTTCCCCTACCAATATGTCTTATCCTCTTACCTTGCTGTGTTCTGTTCCCTAACAGGCTGGCTGGAGATGGTGTCCCAGTGAATATCTGTAAGTCTCTAAAATTTATGCAATTACCTGATTAGAGCATTCATGTCCTGCCAGTGCCCAGAGAGACTGAAAGCTGTTCCTTCTCCTTCTTGCAGCTGTGACCAGAACAACTGTGGGAACAGGATATGGAGGAGGAAGCAATCTCAGCATGGGAGGGGGAATCTGCAATATGGGGAACAGCTTCAACTGTGGAAGTGGTCCTGGGATTAGCAGCACCACCCTAGGAGGTGGCAGCAGCTCCAGCGTCAAGTTCGTCTCAACCTCCTCCACCAGAAGAAGTTACAGAAGCTAAAACCTTCTTTTTAGATGCCTTCACTCACCAGAAAACACCTTAGCACTGGCCCTTTACTAGAGCATAGTTGGGGTCAGGAGAATGAGGGCCACCTAAAGCCTATGTCTTGTCACACAGGAACCTCACCTTAGGAACTCTCTCAGCTGTGTTGTTTAGGGCTCTGCTAATGAACATGAGTCCAACCGTTTTAAATTTGCAACTTGCTTGTTACAGCTCAGCATTTTTTGCCTGGATTTTGTATATAAGATGTGTCCCATGACTGTTTGTCTCTCTTCACTTTCTGGTGTTTGTCTAATAAAATGCATATGTAATTTATTCTATTGTGTGGACCTTTTAATTAAAGACGTGGAACAAAATGCAAATGCAGATAACAAGCACTTTTCATACAGCCCTGCCCAGTTAAAGGTGTAGATTTTTTGCTCCTCATCCACATTTCCTGCATCTCTCCATCAGCAGGCAAAACACACAGGCACAGCGTGGCACCAGGAGGGGGGTTGGTGTTGATTTAGATGTTCTACCCCCCTGCAATAAAACACCCGGGAGCAAAACACAGGGCACGTCACAGCAGGAGCCGGGCACAGGGGAAAAGGTCTAAGATTCATCTACTGTGCAGCTTCCAGCCAACACAACATCCAACAACCTGACTCCCAGGGGGCACAAAGGGCAGTGCCAAGTGTGTGATGTACTGGCATAAATGTACAATAGGGAACTAATTACCAGGGGAGTCAGAGCAACCACCCAGCTTGTTCAAATCTATCAGCCCATCTAGAAACCCCGTCTGCTGAGAGTTATCTCACCGAAGTCTTTATGTGCCAGCAGGGCAGATGCCTGGGTTGGAAGCCCTCCTTTTCTGTTTCACTGGCCACACTGTTTTAGGTGCTTATCTTTGGTCTTGATACTCCATGTTTCTTCTCCTTTGACAATGAGCAGGAAGATCTGGTCCATATGTGCTCACATACTATGTTGAATGCTATTCATCCAATAGCTATAAAAACATCTAGAGGATGGGATACCTGTTGGAAAGTGAAAGCCTTCAAGATCCAATGTTCCTTCACATTTCAGGAATACACTGGAGACAAGATCTTGTTTTGAGAAGGTGGAGAAAACAGAGAAGGTGCAGGAATTTTAGATGTGGTTCTGACGAATCAGGAGGAATTAATTGAGAAGTAAAAGCAAAGCATCATCTAGCTGAAAGCTAAAGAGTGACAGATCTCATTGCTGCAGATGAGCTGCACAAATAGATGTGATTGGAAACATCTATTCTCCTACCCCCGTGTATTTCAAAGTTCAAGGAATGGGCAGAGAAGGACTCTTAGGAAAAATGCTTGAAGAGATGGGCAAAGGGAAGGAATTGGCAGTGCCTCAATGACAGACTGTGTTTGGGTTTTCCTTCGAGACCAGCAGTTTTACTTAATTTTCTACCATGCTCTGAACTCTTCATTTTCCTCTCTGTATCCCTCAGGAAATCTTCCCAAAAACTTGCAGACTTGTTTATGGGTCTGCTGTGGCTTCCCACTTCTGCTCCACCACCTCTCCCTGCGGAATACTCACAGCAGCTTCCCAGGGAGGAGCAATATCCTCCTGTGAACAGGGCTAAGTTAAGTACTGGTCTTCCTCATTGCTGCCCAAACACACTCTCTAACCAACGGGGATATAATGGATGCATCCAACAGGCACCTCAGACAGATGCCATTCATTGCATCAACACCTGGGACACAACACAGAGATTCTGAGTCTTTCCATCTAGCATGGGAGAGTCTGGGGGCAGGATATTCATTCTCCCAGGGCATCCCTTTTTAAAAGAGATACAAAAATCTTCCCTGGAAAAGGCTGGCATCTCTGGGTACATGAGCCATGTACAGCTGTCCTTGCTCCAGAGCAGGACTCTGGTCACCATGTACATAACCTGCTGCACCCAGTCCTGCTGGACAAGTTAAACAGATGTAGGGATGACCTGGGGCTTGTGTTTCAGTGAGAGAAGACAGTCCTCGTTAATTCTCGCACAGCCCAGATTAAAACCTTACTCCTAATGAAATGAATGGTGCTTGCACTCAGGGTGTTGAATTCGCAATGTGTGGAGGGAACTCATGGCTAATTGCTACCCATAACATTTTTACACAGTTGTTTAGGACAGATGGTAGCTTAGTCACAGAAGCTCCTCTCTCTTAAAAACTGTGGCTTGTTGTAACACACAGTAGCTAAGCACTCCCAGAACAGTTATTTAACTTTGTTCCAGGGTGTGTAATGGAAACATTAGAAAAATAGAGAGAAAATAGGAAAGGAAATAAAAATTTTAAAAAAACCAAAAACAAGCCATGGCTGAAAGGCAAAAAGAGATGATGGACACCTGTACATTACCCTCCTGGGACCTTCTGGCCAAACTCACTTGACTGCCAGCACAAACTCACACTTGAAAGATGTATCTGCCAACAGCTGCTCTGTCCCCTCGTGCCTGCATGAGTCTTTTCAATGGCAGGGGAAAGCTGCCTCTGAGGAGCAGAGATTCAGCTGGGGATGGGCATCCAGAAGAGAGACATACCTGAGGAAACCCAAAGGGCTGCAAGGTCCAAGAGGAGCATATCCATCCCTGGACTGTTTGGGCATCCAGGCAAGACACTGGAAGTGATTTTCAAGCATCTTACTCTGGGATAAGTGTCCATGCTCACAGAGCATGCACAGGGCAAGTCAAGGCAGCATGTGCCTTTTCCCAGAGAAATGCACCGTTTGCCTTTTTTTTGGGTGTTATACGGATAAGGGCAGAGTGAGTTGTCTGTGAGCAATGTTGTAAGCCTAGATCCCAGGCACTGAATTTCCTTATAAGAGATTATCAGAGGGGAAAGACAATTGACATGGGGAGGGCAGCCTGGGAACAGGCTGTGTAGAGACATAGTAATCCCATGAGTCAGGAAACAGCCCAAAAATCTGTGAAGGTGAAGCCCTGAGAAAATGCCAACTCAGGTTTTGTGTCGTCACAGCCAACGGTAACTCCCTCCCAGGTCATATTCTGATATTTCATCATTTTCTTGTCAGTCTGAATCAGGATGAAACATAGACACTTTTCTCAGAAATGAAAGGTCTGAAAATACCATTAAAAAACTGCCTTCCATGTCCTTCCCACTCTCCAGATGGTTCTTAGTAGCTGATGCTCCAAGACTCCCACTAATGCCCCATCACCACCTAGGCTTTTCCTCCATCACCTCTTTCTCCCTTCTGTATCAGTTCTGGTTTAAATGGCTTGTTTGGGCATGAGAACATGAGTCCAGAATTTCTGACAAGCTGAGGCCTGCATTGCTGGTGCCCCACTGGGGTTTGCTCAAAACCACAGCAGGAGGAAAAGAGACTCACTATAAGAGACTTCTCAGACCTCGGACCACTGCACCCTGAACAAACGTGCCTTTACGCAACAGAGGGATTGATTCATCCAGGAGAGAGATGAGCAAGTGGTTGCCCAATGTGGGAACCGTCTGCTGCAGAGGGGAAAGGGAGTGGGGAAGGGATGGCTGCAAACCCAAGTTGAGCAGGCAGTATTGAGTGTTTTCTTGGATATTTCAACAGACGGGTCATGACTGTCACCAAAAAATGCAACTCCTGCACTTTGTGAGCGCTTCTCAGGTGCTGGGGCTCGTGGTGAACTCACTGTCCGCTTGGCTGGGTGTGCCAAGCCCAGATAATCAGTGACATGAGCACCATTCCAGACCCATCCCCAGCCACTGAGGGTATAAAAGGGCCAGTCCCAGCCTGGGGGAGCACAGCTTCACCTTCCTGCCTTCATCCACTTCCTCTCTGCTTCATTGTTTCTGCCGCTCTCACCCTGCTCACACCAGCTGCCATGTCTCGCCAGTGTGCTGCCAGGAGCCAGAGCAAAACCGGCTTCAGTGCTGCTTCTGCCTTCATCCCAAATACCAGCAGCACCAGCTTCTGCTCACGTTCTGTATCCCAAGGAGGAAACTGTGGTACTGTTGCTGGGTATGGAAGACTTCCTGGAGGTTTTGGAAGCAGAAGCCTCTACAGTCTTGGTGGATGCAAAAGGATCTCAGTGGCTGGAAGGGGTGGTGGCTTCTATGGACCTGTGGGTTTTGGTGCTGGTACTGGGATCTCCTGTGGTTTTGGTAGTGCAGTTGGTGGTGCCTTTGGGTTTGGTGGTAGCATGGGTGGTCCTGGACTCCCTGCTGGGGGCATCCATGAAGTCTCAGTCAACCAGAGCCTTCTGAAACCTCTCAATCTGGAGATTGACCCCACCATCCAGAGTATCCGTAAGGATGAGAAGGATCAGATTAAAACCCTCAACAATAAATTTGCCTCCTTCATTGACAAGGTGAGACATTAGATTTCTTGTTTATGCTCTGTTGATTCTTTAGTGGGGCAGGACAAGTTATACTTTTATCAGCAATTTTGCTGCTCTTGTACTGCTAGTTCTAACAGCAGCAGCCTTGGAATAAAACCTAAGGGTTGCAGCTTTGAGACCATTCATCCCACGCAGTAATGTCGAGATGAGACCAGCCAGCAGGGGGTTATAGGATGTAAGGAAGCAGAGTTTGCAAAGAAAGCAGGAACATTAGCATCAAGTGTGCAATACTTGCTTGCTTGTACAATCTATCAGCTGTTCCCCAAGGGCTGAGAGCTCCCACATTTCAGCAAGTGAATCCTTGCAGGACTGTACACTGTGCCTCTAAGGAAAACCATCCTAAAATTACTTTTTCTGAAACATCTCCTTTCTCTCTCCAGGTCCGATTCCTTGAACAACAAAACAAGGTCCTGGAGACCAAGTGGGCCCTTCTGCAAGAACAGGGAAACAAACCAGTCAGAAATGACATTGAGCCCCTCTTTGAGACCTACATCAACAACCTCAGGAGGCAGCTGAACTGCTTGCTGACAGACAAGGAGAATTTAGGAGGGGAGCTGAACAAGATGCAAAGCCTTGCTGAGGACTTCAAGAACAAGTAAGTCCATCCATTTTTGGTCTGTCTGGAGAGCAGGGTGGGCTGCCACAGATGCCAGCT